AAAGAAAAAATACGAGAAAAGGAAAAAATGGAAACAAAGTCTTTGCAAATAGGGAAGGGTGGAGGGGGTGAAGGGAGGGCAGGGGAAGGGGGGAAAAATAAGAACCAAGACTCATGTAAAGGTACAAGATCCCAATGATGAATGTAACTATTTTATACCTAAAATGTACCAATAAACTTAATGGGGGAAAAAAGGGGGAAAAAAAAAAAAACGACTTGCCTGGATGCTATCTCAAACACGTAACAGGGCTGGGAATTTAGCTCAGCAGTTCTGCAGCCTGCCTCACAAGCCCAAGATCCCAAGTTCAATCCCTGGTACCAAAAAACAAAACTAAACAAAAACAAATATACAATAATTAAATTAAGTCCCACTTCCTGCAGTTCTGGAAATGCTCTTTATCTTTCTTGCTCAATATGGCAGATATTAGCCACATAGGCGTACTGACACCTGAAATGTGACTAGTGCAACTGAGGAACTGTATTTTAAATTTATATTTTTGATAATTGAAATTTAAATAGCCATATCAGGTTGGTGGCTACCATACTGAAAATACAGCTTCAGACAGGACAGCAGCAGAAAACAAACATAAGTTGTATTTGCAGAGTAGGTGTGTCCCAGATATAAGCCTAGAGCAGAGTTAAAGGTGTATACTAGAGATTTTTTTTTTTCAAAAAATACAGGGGTGTGGCATATAGTTCAGTGGAAAAGGGTATGCTTAGCATATGTGTATCCCTAGGTTCAATCCCAAGTGCTAAAAACAAAACAATCACCAGGGCCCGGGATGTAGCTCAGTGGCACAGTGCCTGCCTGGCAAATGTGAGGTCCTGAGTTTGATCCCCGGTATCAAAAAAAAAAAAAAAAAAAATCACCAGAACCCTATACATAGGACAAGCACCTTGATGCAAGCAAAAGTGAGGGCAAGGGTGATGACAGGAAGACAGATGTACCCTAAAATCAGCTCTTCCCAGCACCATAAGACAACATTCATAATAAAAATTGTACCTTGTCTAATCAGGCCTTTAAAACATATGCATATCTAAATCAGGAAACAGATACTGAGAGAAAATAGACAAATAAGGTCAGAAAAAAACAACTACCACAGAGCTTGGTGGCACATGCCTATTATCCCAGCACTCTAGGAGGCTAAGGCAGGAGGATCACAAATTAAACTTCAGCCTGGGCAACTTAGTGAAATAATTTTTTCAGGGCTAGAGATTTAGCTCCGCAAGCACAAGGTCTTGAGTTCAATCCCTGGTACCAGAATGGAAAAAGAAAAAAAGAAATTGATGCCAGTTCAGAAATTTCTAGTTCATATAACAGCTTTTGGTAGTACCTCTCAACCAAGGGTGACTTTATCCCATAAGGGACATTTGGCAATTATGGAAACTTTTTTAGCAGCACTGGGGACTAAACCCAGGGCCTTCACACTGAGCTCCATTCCTAGTCCTTTACATTTATTTTGAGACAGGGTTTCACTAAGTTGTTTACAAGGAGGGGCTTGAATTTGTGACCTTCCTCCCTTAGCCTCCCAAGATGGTAGAATTACAAATGTGCACCACCAAGCTGGCTTGCAGAGATTTATTTTTAAAGCCAGAAGTGATGTTAAACATCCTACAGGACACACAACAGTCTCTTCTCCCCAACCCCAACAACTTACCCAATCCAAATTCTGCACTAGTTACATGGCATTTACAAACTATTACCTAAAATGCAACAGAATTTAATAAGATATATATGAAATAAAACTTCCTTGACACTAAGAAATTTTTTTTTCCTTTTTCGAGACAGGGCCTCACTTTGTAGTTCAGGCTAGTGTTGAACTCACTATGTAGCCCAGGCTGGCCACCAACTTACAGCAATCCTCCTGCCTCAGCCTCCTGAATGGTGGAAACATAGGCATGCACCACCACGTCCGGTATGAAATCTTTCTTTTTGATCCTTGGTAGCAACAATATTTTAAGAAACTTTGACACTACAATGTACAGGTATGCCCTATTATTTGTAAATTTAACATTCTATGTTTCATTTCTATATTCTGTCCTATTTTAGTTCAACAGGGAGGATCTGGGACAGTCTTGATCTCTGCTGTAGCCCCAGTGCCGAGAGATGGTAGGCATGAAAATTTTTAACGAGTGGGCAAGAGAAGGACATTACTAACTGGACTTCTCTCTCCAATACAGCATGACCATTGTAGCCAGTGGTGTTAGAAATGACAAAGTATCTTTGGTTCCACGCAGAGTTATTTCTCACATCCTCTTTGAGAAGTTGGTCTACATACTGTAGTTCATTATCCCAAAGTCTAAATTCCTAAAAGAAAGTTTAAAAGAAAAATCCAGTTAGAAATGTCCCATTTATGAACAATAAGAATAAATAAATAAAACATAAGCAAAGCTTAGAAGGTCAAACTGAAGACAAAGGAATTATCACTTATTTGGAAAGAGGAGTCCGCTGTAGGTCAAGAAAAAAGGGGGCTTAAAACACATACAGAGGACATATATGAAAAGGAGGAAAGAAGTGATCAAAGAAAATTTAGAGGCAAACAAACACCAAAAACTAGTAAGAAAATAAGTATATACATAGTATGTAAATTTGATGTGATTTGATAATAACACATAACATTAAGTAAAACAGCAACATTGAAAATGCACACACATAATAAAACTACCTTAAAACTACATATAGAGAAATATACACAATTAAACTTAGATATACATTTTTATATTATAAAGCTTTTTTTTTTTTGGTACCAGGGATCAAACTCAGGTCCTTGCACTTGCACAGCAGGCGGCGAAACCACTGAGTTAAATCCCCGGCCCTATAAAGCTATTTTAATAAAAAACTTGTGAGGGAGTATGATCAAAACTTACAAATGTTATAAAATTTAGGACATTATGAAAAAGGTACCAGAATTGTATTTATTTGATAATAGCAAAAGAGTAAGAATTTCAGTAGGATGATCCTTGATTTTACAACTGGTAATAAAAAGAAAAAATAAATATTTAGCCAGACATAGCTACGCACACCTGTAAGACTGCCAATTCAAATACCACTTGGACAACTTAGCAAGTTCTGGTCTCAAAATAAAAAATAAAGAGCTGGGCTGGGATTTAGCTCAGTGGCACTGTGCTGGTCAGGCAACCGCAAGGTCCTGAGTTTGATTCCTGGTACCAAAAAATAAAAAAATAAAAAGCTGGGAGTATAGCTCAGAGCAAAAGCCCTTTGTCTTCCCCTGGTATAGGAAAGAAAAAGAAGAAGAAAGAAAAGGAAAGGAAAAAAAAAAGATTTTTATGAAAATCCCTATGCTGGTAAATAGCAGAGTTCAGTGCTAACAGGTCCTCACTGTTGGCAGTTGCAGTGATGGTGCACCTTTGGAGCTTTCAATGATACAAATAGCCTGCTGAAGTACGTGTGTCACAGGTTCACCATCACTGCTCTAGAGAAACATGCTAAGTACAGAATGACAGAACACACATCTATGTATAAGCTTTTTAACAACATAATAACTTTATGCCTGCTGAATCAAGGAGAAATTTGCATCCAGGAGAAATTAGGAATTTTGTACAGACACTCCTCATTTAACCACCAAGCACCATTCTCACAACTAGGTCGTTAACTGGATTGGTCGTTAAGTGAGGTATTGCATGTAGTATGAACATTATAACATTCCAGAACAAAGAAATGGTCAAAGGAAATTCCAACTTGATGACTTGTTTCTATTTGTGTAACCCATATGCAGTACTGTAATATATAACAGAACATAAAACTACAGTACTGTATTGTACAGTACAACCAGCAAAAACTACAGTACCGTATAAACAAGGTGTACTGTACCAACAAAAAGACACTGAGACTCTATAAAAAAGATGTACAAAACTGTACAAAAAAGGGGCTGGGGATTTAGCTCAGTGGTTCCACCACCTGCCTTGAAAGCACAAGGTTCCGAGTTCGATCCCCAGTACCAAAAAAAAAAAAAAAGACAAGTCATAAATCTGAACAGTGCACCTCAGTCCGAAAGTCTGAGCAGTCATTAACCAGGTAGGTCACTAAACGAGGAGTATCTGCATGTGTGTTTGGGTTTTTTTCAGACACAAAGAAAGTTACAAAAAATGTTCTGTGTACCATTCACTTAGTTTTCCCAAATGGTATTATAACACTAACTGAAGTCCAATCCTCAAACTCGGAAAATTACACTGGTATATTATTGTTAACAAATACAGACCTTATTCAGATTTTATGTGTATTAATTTGTGGTGAGGGCTGACATGGGGGTGGAATACAGTTCTATGCAATTCCATCCCATATATATATATATACATATTATAAGGACTACTACAATCAAGAACTAGAAATGCTCCCTCACCACAAAGAAGCTGTCCCACGCTATCCTTTTGCAGTTGCACCTCCCTATTCCCTAATCCCTATTAACCACAGATTTACTCCCTATATAATTTTAGTATTTCTAGAATGTTAAATGAGCGCCTGGGATTCAGCTCAGTGGTTTTGCTGCCTGCTGCGCAAGCTCAAGTTCCTGAGTTCGATCCCTGGTACCAAAAAAAAAAAAAATAGAATGTTAAATGAACCACACAAGTATGAGACATTTTGTGATGAAACTTTCTCACTATGTAAAATGTCCTTGAGAGCTATTCAAGCTGTTATACTCCTTTTATAGCTGAGTTTTATGTTGCATGTGTTTATTTCATTTATTTGTTTGTACGTTCTACAGTACTGGGAATTGAACTCAGGACCTTGCACTTTCCAGGCAGGCACTGTCCCACTGAGCTACATTACTAGCCCTATTTCATTGTTAAAGTAATTAGTTTTTATGTATGTTCCCTAAATGCGACATATGTAAAATACATCCATTCTGTAATGAGTTTGGGGAAAAGAGGAGTTCTCAACTCCTTTACTTGAGAAGGATTAGTACAGTTAACTTCAAGTATTAAAGTCAAACAACATACAGGCCAGGTATTTATACATGTTTGAAGGTCTGGTTTCAATCCATAGCTTCACACACACAAAAAAAAGCAAACAAAAGCCCTAAAATTTGCTGGGCATGGCGGCGCATGACTCCAATCCCAGCTACATAGTGAGTTTAAGGCCAGCCTGTAGTACACAGTGAGACCCTGTCTCTATAAAAGCACCCTAAAATTTGAGCCTAGGCCTCTAAGTCCAGCACTCTGGGAGGATGAGGCAGGAAAATCAAAGGTGGGCAACTTAATGAGATTCTCCTCTCAAAATAAAAACTTAAAATGAGGCCCTTGTGAGAAGGCCCTGGATTCAATCCCCAGTACTGAAAAAAAATACTAAAATTCATCACAATTTATTATTTATTTATTTTGAGACAGGGTCTCACTGTGTAGTTTAGGCTAGCTCTGAACTCACCATGCACCCCAGGCTGGGCTCAAACTCACAGAGATTCTCCTGGCTCAGCCTCCCAAGTGTTGTGATTACAGGCGTGTGCCACCATACCAGGCCATAATTTTTAAAAAAAATTTTTTTTGTACTGGAGATTGAACTCAGGACCTTGCGCTTGTACAGCAGGCACAGAACCACTGAGCTAAATCTGTGGCCCTTTAAAAAAAATTTTTTTTTCCTTTAAAAATATTTTTAAAGAGCTTTTCCATATTCCTATTTTAAGTGATCAAAGAATTGAATTCATGAAATCCTCACTGAAAATAACTGAAATATTTAAAAATGGCTTTCCATGTAGAAAAAAACTGGAGTTTCTTAGTCTCAGAACTGCTGACAGTGCAGATGAGTCTTTGCTGTGGGGGATGATATGCATTCTAGAATGTTTACTTAGCAGCATCCCTATCTTCTGTCACTAGATTCCAGGAACAACATGCCTGTACTGTGACAATCAAAACTGCCACCACACACTGCCAAATGTCCCGGAGCAGCACAGCCACCGCTGCTTAAGAACTACTGGTTTACACGAATTTAAGAATGTGTATGAGTCTCACTTTCCACCTTGGGACAAGTTATTTCTTTCCTTTTTATTTATTTAGCACATGAACACATAGAGATTCTCTGCAGTTTTAGTTTTCAGAATTAGTTTGCACCTGACTATAGCTGAAATTAACACTCTTCCCACCCCTCCAGTGTGGATGTTTAAACTCAGGACCTCCACGATGAGCTACAGCCCCATCTCGCTAAGTTGCTACGGTGCCCAGCCGGGGCTCAAGCTTTTGATCCTTCTACCTCAGCCTCCCAGAGTGCTTGGAATTATTGGTATATACCACCAAACATAACTGAAATTAATCTTTTTAAAAGTACATTAGACGGGCTGGGGATTTAGCTCAGTGGTGCCGCCACCTGCCTCGCAAACAGAAGGTCCAGAGTTTGATCCCCGGTACCAAAAAAAAAACTACATTAGAAACATGAAACCATAATATAACAAAAGTGAAAACAAGGGAGAAATTATGTATACTTTATTTATAGAAACTTATAAGCTGCAATATAATTGAAGGATATTTTGGTATCTTATCTTATGGGAATATTTTATAATTTCAGTAAGAAACATAGTGGGTAAGGTAGCTCTCCAAAGACATTGGTAATATTCTATTTTTCAAGTTGTGGTAGACAGATGGGCATGTGGATATATGTGCTTTTGTGTGTGATAAGAGACACGTTTTATGACTAAAATTTTAAATAAATAAAAATTCTGAACACTATACTTTTAGAAAATATATTGTTTTAGCTGGGTGTGGTGGTGCGTACCTGTAATCCCAACACTCTGGAGACTGAGGCAGGACTGAAAGTTCAAGCCAAGCCTGGACAAGTTAGCAACTTAGTGAGACATAGTCTCAAAATAAAAAATTTTAAAAGGTCTGGAGATGTAGTTCAGTACAAAGGCCCTGGGTTCCATCCCCAATACTACAAAAAAGAAAAAAGAAAAAAACGAGGAGGAGGAGGAGGAGACGGAGGAGGACAGTAAGTTTAAAATTTTAAGTAAAAAGTATTTGCCAAAATATTCTTAGTATAATGAATACTGCAGAAAGTAGCAACCCCTGAAAAAATGTCCCAGGAAACAATACTGGAATTGTTCACTAGAATAAATAAAATGCCTGGAGTGGGAGTTTTAACTATTCTCTCCAAGATTTAGCATAAAATTTTAACCATGGGTAGAAATAAAATAGAAAATAGTTGTTGTAAAATCACATTCCAAAGTTTACAGGTGTAAAAAAATAAGTACATAATATACTCTCAATTAAAATAGCTATATTAAAAATTTACTAGGGCCAGGGATTTAGATCAGTGGCTTTGCCACCTGCTGCGCAAGCACAAGGACCCGAGTTCCATCCCTGGTACCAAAAAAAACAAAAAAAATTTACTGTTAGGGCTGGGGATTTAGTTCAGTGGTTCTGCTGCCTGCCTCGAAAGCACAGGGTCCTGAGTTCAATCCCCGGTACCAAAAAAAAGCAGTATAATTTTTTTTAAATTTACTATTTTTGGTACTAATTTGCTATCAATATTAAGTTGTAATATGAACTGAATCTAAAATATATTTAAAATTTACTATTATTCTTTGATATGAAGCTACTCACCAACACATTCAAAGATATTATAAAGGTCAACCAACATGGATACTACTTTTAATTAAGTATCTTAATTATTGTATTGTCTGTAATAATCTATATACATGTTTTAGTTCAGAATTATACTTTAATAGTAATTTTAATTATTTAATTAAGTTAAAAAATAAAAATCAGAAAAGCATTGTACAGCCGGGGATTTAGCTCAGTAGCCCCGCGCCTGCCTCACAAGTCCAAGGTCCTGAGTTTGATCCCTGGTACCAAAAACAAAGCAACAAAAAAAGAGAAAAGCATTGTAACAAGAAGACCAATACCTGAATGACCCACTGTCGATGCTGCCAGGCATGGTAATTCTTTGCATCCTGATTAAGAATATCAGCAATAAACTCAAGCTCCTGAGATGGATCTTTCAGCCATTCTACTAATACTCGCCTATGATGCCTAAGAGTTCAGAGAAAGGAAAGAAGTTTGTGTTAATTTCCCAAAGAACAACATGTAAGCTGCAAGGGGTGTGCCATTCAATGTGGAAGGACAAACAAGAAACAAAAATTCATCTCTAATTCTCAAGACTCTAATGCAGAGAAAAGCTAACACAAAAGAAATAATAAGAAAAAAATTTCAGAACACTAGTACTTGAGAAGCAGCCCAAATGTCCATCAATCAATGAATGGATAGAGATGTAGGTTTTTTTAAACAATGGAGTACTACTTTGCCATAAAGAATATAAGCTTGAGACTTTTCTAGCATTTAGGATGCACCTTGAGACCATACTCTTAAGTGAAATAAATCAGGCACACATGTGTAAATAACACATTATTTCTCTGCTGTGAGAAACCAAGTGTAAATAAGGACCAAAACATGTAATAGATATTGGGAAATGGGAAGAAAATGTTCAAATGAGAAGGGGGACAAGGGAGGGGGGAGGGGGGAGGGGAAGGAAGGGGGAAGGAAAAAAGAGTAGAAGGAAAAAAATGGAAACAAAGCTTTTGTAAATAAGGTGGGGAAGAAGGGTTAAAAGGAAGGGAGGAAAATGAGGAAAAAATAAGAATCAAGATATATCAGGTACAGGTACAAATTCCCTATGATGAATGTTATCATTATGAATATCTAAAACATACCAATAAAAAACAAAAAAAAGAAACCTGTAAAATCAGATACTGAGGGCTTAGAGACCTTTTACCTCAAGCTAAAGCTGGGAGTGGTTATCTTTTGAAAACCACAATACTCTTCCTCAAGATTCTGAAACATTACACAATGAGACACTAGAAAAAATATGGCACTATTTTCTCAGCTACATAAGTTCCTATACTTAAACAGTTTGTCACATTTTCCTAAGTTCAAAATGTTATAACAAAAGTAAATTTTCTTTCCAGTAGTTAGTGGGCCTTAAAATTCACTTTGACCTTAAAAAGGTCAAATAGCTATGAAAAACTGCAAGTTTGTTAAAAGAGTTTCTATACTAGGAAGATACTAAGACATTTATTTCGGGTTCCATTTTTATAATTTTCTTTAGCTAAAATAGTTACAAAAATATGTAAGTAAAAAGGTTGTAAAATTCACTTTGGGGCCAGGGATGCAGCTCCACAGCAGAGCACTTGCCTATCATCTGAAAGGCCCGGGTTTCCTCCCTAGCACTGAATTGTAAAACATGCAAAACAAAACAAAACCGAAACGCTAGAACAGCTGCACATATCTGTGAATATACTAAAACCTCTGAAATCATACACTTTAAATGAACTATATATAAATTATATTTAAATAAAGCTGGTATTTTAACAATATTCATTATACTAATGTGAGCAGTAATAACAGGAAAAAGGCAAAAATTTAATGCTTAATGAATGATCTTTTCTACAGGCATGGACAATGTAAAAATTCTTATAGATTATTAAGAAAGTAAAACATTTCCAAGAAGAAAATGCAGAAAGCAGCTTTCTAAATTTATTTTAGCATATATTTCAAGTCAGTGAACATTTATAGCATTTTATTTTTCCAGGTTCCTGGTAAATTCTATAATTTAAGAAAATGTCAAGAATTAATTCCTTGCTGGGCATGGCGGCACATGCCTATAATCCCAACAGTCAGGAGTCCAAGGCAGGAGAATTACCATGAGTTTGACACCAGCCTGAGCTACATAGTGAGTTCAAGGCCAGCCTGAACTACATACATAATTAAAAAGTTAATTCCTCCAGTATATCAAACTGATTTCTTGAAACAAAATACTGAGATTTCTGATTCCTACGATTATTAAGCACAGAAGACTACAGCATAAATTTGCATAGTATGAACTGAATAAAAAATGATTAGGATAAAGGATTTGCATTAGTTGTAGTCCACCAGTCATAAGAGAATCTACAGAACCTAGCAGAGGGACAGCTGAAAATGTATTGCAAATAAAATACTAAGTCTTCAACAACAGTTGCACAGGTGATGGGTCTATGTCCTGATTTTTATAACACTGGGTGATTCAGAGTTAATGTAGTATCCTATAGTATCCAGGAAAGAAAAGCTATTTCTCTTTAGCAAAAACGAGAATTAAATACTTAGAAGGCCTGTCATATCTAAATTTTATAGCTACAGATTTTTACATAAAAGCATCTTAATCACAAGGTAAATAGCCTATCTCACTAGAAAATTTTTTTAGTACTAGAGATTGAACCCAGAGCCTTTGCACTAAGCTCCATCCCCACACCCTTTGTTATTGTTATTTTTTATTATAAGATGGGGTTCTCAACAACTCAATGAATTCCTACCTCAGTCTCTCAGAGCACTAGGATTAGAAGCAGAGGCCACCATGCCTGCCTCACTGAATTATTTTATAATGTAATTTCTTGAGAATGCAAGAATCAAGTTAAAAAAGAAACTACAGGGGTAAAGTTTATGAAAGTTGTTCTACAAATGGAAATCTGTTCAATAACTACCACACCCATGAAAACATTTGATTATGTAAGATCGTTACCCAGCTGGGCCAGATAGCAGATCCCACTTCTACTTGTCTGCATTTAGAATGAAGGTATTCTCTCCCCCTCCCTCCCCTAAGTCTTTATCCTCCGTTCCCTAGAATCTCACCCCCTCATCACCCTGTGTGTGTGTGTGTGTGTGTGTGTGTGTATGCGCGCGCACACTTTAATACACGTGCTGGTGCTAGGAAGTGAACCTAGGGCCTTCTCTACCTCTTGAATGAGGTTCCTCAGTGTTCTAACATCCACATTCTCCTTATTTCTCCTTCAGTATCCTTAGCATATCTGACTTCAACTACCACTTTCAGAAAGCAGAAAACTCGTAACATGCCGACAGTGCTCCTCAGTACAGAAAAGTATTTTTTCAACCGCTTACTGAACAGCTTTACATAGGTTTTCTTCCTTTCTTTCTTTCTTTATTTTTGGTACCGGGGATTGAACTCAGGTCCTTACGCTTGCACAGTAGGTGGCAAAACCACTGAGCTAAATCCTCAACCCTTTACATAGGTTTTCTGCAAGCATACCCAACTACACTTGTCCAGTAAAGACCCTCTTTCTTTCCCCAAAATATCTGTTTTTGCCTCCAAACTTCCCAAGTGATAGCACCACCTGGCTGTCAAGTCAAAACTAAACTTCTTTTTCAGTTCTTAATCAATTCAACTGCAAAAACCGTTGCTTTTCAAGCCTGCCATGGTGGTACATGCCTGTTACTCCAGCTACTCTGGAGGGTGAGGAGGGTTACAAGTTCAAGGCCAGCCTGGGCAACAGTGAAACACCATCTCAAAAATGATAATAAAAATAAAAGAGACAAAACCCATCAAACACAACAATCAAAAACCTGTTGCTTTGCTCTCCAAATTTTCTCTCAAATTTATTATCATTCTTTTTTGGGGGGGGGGGGTTCCAGGTCCTCAGCTTTTGAGGCAGGTGGTAGAGCCACTGAGCTAAATCCCTGGCCCATTCTTATACTTGTACTTTTTAAGCTTCATCTCTTCTAACCTACACTACTGCAGTGACTTGAGTCTCCAGGATTGTGAACCTATTTTACTCCACCCTTCACTCTGTTGTCAGGGTAAACCTTGTTATAAACTGGATCTAAAATGTTGCCCAACAACCATGTGTTAAAGGCTTAGTCCCCACCCTGTGATGCTACTGGTAGTGGTGGAACCAGTACGCTGGCCCCTTCCTCTCTCTGTCTCCACTTCCAGGCCAGCAGGAAGCGGGCATGCTCCCCCAGCAGTGCTGCCTTGACATGGGCCCACAAGCAGACAGCCAACCAACCACAGACTAGCATCTGTAAGACCACTCGCCAAAATAACTCCTCCTTATAAGTGATTTCTCAGATATTTTGTTACAGTGATGGAAAATAATACATTTTCTAAAGCACAAGTCTAATTATATTACTTAAAATTTGTCAATTGCTCTTCACTGCCACTAAGATTTGCCCCAACCCCTCATCAGTGTTCATAAGGCCCTTTCTGATCCCATCTCTGCCCACATTCCCATGACCGGCAATGTACTCAACACAAAGAATTACAGGCAGCTCCCTGGGTGCGCCTGCTCTTCTATGCTTGTCCCCAGAAGATTTTCTTTACCTCAGAGGTCTTCTTTCAAAAGGCTTCCTTAAATCTCAGCATAAAAACAGCATAGGTGTGCACAAGATAGGACACAGGTTGGAAAAAGACAAAATGGTGGCCACCCCTGTGGCAGACATGGAACAGACTCTGTCGTATTCCAAGTGGCCTCCATGACTTCACCATCTGACATCTTTAATCTCATCACCACTGCGGCGGCAGCAGGACACCATTCAGACACCGCTCACTCTTCAAATGCTCAGTGTTCTTTTTATTTTCAGTGCCTCTGCTCCCTGACATCTCTTTTTTCCTATTGTATCTGGGTACCTCACCCTAATAATCTTTATTTTCCTGGTCCACTGGATTCATGCTAGCTTAGGGGCTAAATTTCAAAAACAAATACACCCTGGAAAAAACTCTAACACTACATTTTTCACATAAAAGAACTGAGTTTGGCTGGGTGTGGTGGCATGCATCTGTAATCCCAGCACTCTGGGAGGCTGAGACAGGAGGATTACAAATTCAAGCCCCATCTGGGTAACTGAGCAACTTATTAAGACTCTGTATTAAAATAAAAAATAAAGGGGCGGGGATTTAGCTCAGTGGTTCTGGCGCCTGCCTTGCAAGTGCAAGGACCAGAGTTCAATGCCCGGTGTCAAAAATAAATAAATAAAATAAAAAGTAACAAAATGGGGCTGGAGATGTTGCTCAGTGTGACGGCCTTGGGTTCAATCCCCTGTACTGCAAAACAGGTGTATTTCTAGCATAAAAAAGTTTTTGAATAAAAGATCAAATGCTACAAGTCATTTTATTATTACTATTACTTTGTTTTGTGAGACAGAGTCCCACTATACACAAGCTGGTTTTGAACTTGTGATTCTCCTGCACCAGCCTCCCAAGAGCTGGGATTACAGTTGTACACCACATCACCTAGCCTAGAAAGTCATTTTATAATACATAAACAAAGATTTTTTTCAGACTTTTTGCTCAAAAATTTCCTGACTCTAGAAGTATTGTGTAGTGTTGTTGAGACTTTCAATAATAACAGCAGCTGGACATTTGAGTAATAATGTGGTTCGGGCACCATTTTCCTTTCTTTTGGTACCAGGGATTGAACTTAAGAACTTTGCACTTTCGAGGCAGGTGCGGAGCCACTGAGCTAAATCCCCAGCCCTCAGGCACCATTTTCAGCAGTAAATATAGTTACCTCATGTAATCCTCTTAATCTTATGATGTAACATTAGCTCCAATGTAAAGTACTAAAGAAACAAACAAAAAATTCCTTCATCTCATCACCCGCTGGCAAGTACTATTAGCGTATTTCCATCTTACCAAACTTGATAGTTTTTTGGCTGTTCCTCAATTATTGTAGTGATGTAGTTCATTTCTTCATGTAGATCCTTTTGAAGTGACCGTAAGAGAACTCTTCGAAAATGCCTACACCAAACAGCAAATGCCCAAAGTCTCAGTATTCTACATAAATTGTATAGCAAGTGTCAAATACAGCTACAAAACAATAACATAGTTAAGATACATTTTTGGTGGTTATTCTATATAACCAATAATTTAAAAAGTAAGTGCTTGTGATTGTCCCAATTCATACAACTATCTGGTAACTGGAAGAATCAAGCACTGAAGTGAAAATAATGAAAGGCAACAAATATGAGATGGAAGAACAGGAAAGTTTTGAAACTTAAAAGACAAACAGTTTGAGGTAATACCCTGATTACTGGTGTCTACAATCTAAAAATCAAAGACATTGCTTTCCCAATATGGCAGTGTGTGTAAATACATTACTCAAATACTAATTCTATTAGAAACATTACCAAGATATTTTACTTTTAAAATCACTACCAAAGTGCTACTTATAAAATAAAATATGCTGCCGGGCATGGCGGCGCATGTCTGTGGCACAAGTCTGCGGCCAGTAAGGCCTACAAAGTGAACTCAAGGCCAGCCTGAACTACGTAGCAAGATCCTCTTCTCAAAAAACCCTAAATAGGCTTGTAAACACAAGATCTCGAGTTCGATCCCCGGTAAAAAAAACACAAAAAAACCCTAAATAAATAAAATAAAAAATAAATGAAACATGTTTTACTTTAACTTCTGAAACTGGACTCAACGCACAGGACATGGTTAGTTTTGGGCTAACCTTACCTCAAAATTTTAAAAATTTCCAACTCAATATATAATAAGACACAAAACATACAATAAGTTATCTTTTAAAATAAAATGGCAAGGGTCGGGGATTTAGCTCAGTGGTTCCACTGCCTGCCTCGCAAGCTAAGGACCTGAGTTCAATCCCTGGTACCAAAAATAAATAAATAAATAAATAAAATAAAATGGCAACTAAGAGATTACAATATTTTTCTCTTCAATAATTACCGAAAAAAATCAGGATCACAGCTAGAACATATAAAATATTAACACTTGGTTTATATGGGTAATGATTTCAGGTATACTGCTTTTTACCTTTGGGCAGTAGAGGATATGGCACACAGAGCCTTGTGAATGCTGGGTAAAAACTCTATCACTAAGCTATACCCTGGCCTTGGCATACTGCTTTGCAAAAAAAAGCACAAATGAACTTAGGAAATTTTAAAATGGATTCTTTTTTTTTTTTTATGGTACTGGAGATCGAACTCAGGTCCTTGAGCTTGCGCAGCAGGCAGTGAAACCACTGAGCTAAATCTCCGGCCCTAAAATGGATTCTAAGTTCCTCTGTGCTATATATAGTCAGTTATTTCTAAAAAGTGAAGATAGTGTATATTAGAGATGGACTATCATACTGAGTATTCTAGTTAAACATGATAAATATTCTCATTCTGTAATAAGGCCCCACTAAAATGACAGTAAAGCAATGAAGAAGAAATAAATCTGTGAGGACAAGTGGCACAGGGGTACCACAGCATGTGGAAAAGCTTCAGAATACTATGGAAAATGTAAGGAAACAGATAAGTTTAACTAACTCAGAACACCAGAATGTGTTAAAAATTTGTCAACATAAGATGAAATTTTACAAAACGTTCAGAAATTGGAGCTATTTCCAAAATTGGGAGTCAAAGTTAGGGATGAAAAACAGCAAAGTGTCTGGAAAGAGTCCTGGGAAGCTAAGATCTCTCCCCTCATCCTGAGCACAGAGCAGACATCTCCTACTCAGGGCAGATGAGTGACTATTTTTCTAAAAAATCTGAGGCAGAGATACCACATACAATAGAAGGCAGAGTGCAGTAAAGGATGGAAATAAGGTAAAAGTGCTGATACACAAAGCTGGAAAAAAGAAAATAAAGTACTTTCTATTTGAAATAAACAGGATAAAATTTGCAAAAACAAAAAAGTTGGTAATAGACCCATAATCCCTCGCCTGACCCCCCCAGAACTGTAGCACCCAAACACATACCCTTCAGACAATAAAGTGAATGTTCTTTGGAGAAATATACTGCACTGACAAAAGTCTTAAATACTCATATGTGAACATTTCCCAACACAATAGTGACAACTCCACTCAATATCTTCACAGTGAAGCCTTACAACTGATAAACCCTGCCACACATAGAACTTCCCATCAGGTTTCTCCCTCTCTCCATTACAAGTATAAAAAGAAGCTAGGCTTGGTGGCGCACACCTATAATCCCAGCTCTGGGGAGGCTGAAGCAGGAGAATCATCACAAGTTCAAGACCAGCCTGAACTATATCATGAGTCCCTGTCTCAAAAAAAAGAAACACGTAACAGAAAAAAGCCATGAATCATCAACATTTGAGAAAAATATTTACATGAAAGAGACCAAAGGACACAGAGACAAAAAGATATCACATGTATACCAAAAAAGCAAGATACTATTTTAAAAAGAATAATTGGGGAAGAGACCAAAAAAAAAAGGTCTAGGAAATAAAAATGAGTACAAATCTTTTTTAAAAATTAATAGAAGAGTTAGAAGATAAAACTGAGGAAATATCTCAAAAGTAAATAAAAAGACAAAGAAAAGTAAGACAAGGTGGTGAACCTCCTAAACGGAAGCAAAGTCAGACGGTGGCCCTCTTCTCCCTCAGCAAGCAAAAGGTGCAGCTAAAGACGAGCACGCCCACATGAGCATGTGAGCACGTGTGCATGCAGGCTCAGGAGGGTGCCCCACCTCCACATCGCAGGCAGGAGACACACTAACACAGGAGGAGAGCACCCACCAAGCATCCTGGCTCCACACTTTTCTGCCCTTTGGCCTGAGGCAGTAGAGGCAAGGAATAACCAAAACAACCTGATCCTGTTGCGACCAGACCCCATGACTGTCCATGTCAAATCCCCTTGCTGTGGCCTCCATCCAGCAGAGACAAGAGCTAACTGCATTTCCCATGGACAAATAGGAGCAAGGATATGCCTTGGGCTGGACTGTAACCAGTTTGCAACAAATGGACAGAGAGGGCTCTGATACTGGGAAGACACCTCAAAAACTCAGGGCTGAAGGCTAGGCAAAGAAAATCATGACTGGCTGGATACTAAGACTACAGATCTTGGAAAGAAACCTGTCTTTCAAAAACACAGGAAAAGGGCCAGGGATTTAGCTCAGTGGTTCCACTGCCTGCCCCTGCAAGAGTAAGGACCCAAGTTCGATCCCCAGTACCAAAACAAAAAAAAAAACACAGGAATGGCCAGGCGTGGTGGCACATGCCCGTAATCCCAATACTGAGGAGGCTGAGGTAGAGGATTGCTGAAGGTTCCAGGCCAGCCTGTGCTACTTAGTGAGTTCAAGGCCAGCTTGAATTACACAGCAAGATCCTGTCTCAAAAACAAAAACAAAACCAAAAAACAAAACACAGGAATGTTTTCTTTGACTCATTCTTTTGTTATTTTTCTACTTTTAGTTTTTTTAAATCTTTTCTTCATCAGTATTTTTGGTGTTTCTTTTTTATTTTATTTTTTAAATTTTTTTAGGTATGGGGATCGAACTCAGGTACTTGTGCTTGCAAGCCAGGCAGTGGAACCACTGAGCTAAATCCCCGGTGTCTGTGTTTCTTTTTTATACTTTTCTCTTTTCCTTTTTCAATTTTTTGCTCTTCTTTATTGTCTTTACTTCCTGTATTTTGCTCTATATACCTTTTATTCTCTTTCTTGTTCTTTCCTGCAACGGCTCTAACAATATTAATTTCCTTTTACTCAACAAGACACTCGCAATCTTCTCTTCTTCTTATATCCCATTAAGTTCTCAAATTCTGCTTTTCTTATTCTGTTCCTCTACCTTTACTGGTATAACTACTAAGCTTTATGAATCTCTAGACAGCTTTGTGCTATTGTTGTTGAATACTCTTATATTGTTAGTGGAGGTAAAGCTGTTCTAAATATTTACTGTAGGTCCAGAGTAGATCCAATTTCACTTGTCTTAGTATTCATACTATAATTACAGATCTCTTTTCTTTTCTTTTTTTTTGGTACGGGGATCGAATTCAGGCCCTTGCACTTACAGGGCAGGCGGTGGAACCACTGAGCTAAATCCCCAGCAACAGATCTCTTTTCTATGGTTACGGATGACACATTACTGGTCCTTAGGATCTGTCAGTATTCAGTTTGTGCCAGGGATTTAGCTCAGTGGTGTCACCACACCTGCCTCACAAGCACAAGGTCCTGAGTTTGATCCCTGGTACCAAAAACAAAAATTCAGTTTGTATTTGATGCTATAATTGATGCTAATCTTATTACTGTAAACAAGGGTGACATAGCTGTTGTAATTAACTTGTTTGGGGTACCAATATCTGGAATGCCTTGGAGTCATTAACAACACTGTGGCCCATTCTTGGAGGGTATAGGGCTAAATATGCTGGAACCTCCCATCCCAAGTAAATGAATGTTTAGATCCTGGGACAGAGGAAAAGGCCAATAGTCAGCCATCCCAAGGGACACCAGAGAAAAGTAGACATTAACTAAAGAGATCTTCATACTAGAAATAAAGCTTTCCACTGCTATAAGTCTACAAGGCTCAACACAAAACCAAAGAAACAAAAACATTGAAACATGGCAAGACAAGCCAACCAAATGCTTCCAAAACCTAACTCCCCTGAAGCTGACCCATGGGGCAATGAAGGTGAGGAAACCAAAAGCCACACACCTAAATTATCTGAAATGATATCAGGGGAGATAAACAAAACTGATTGTTAAAACATTTGGCAAGCTCACAGAAGATATAAGTAAATACACACTGGGCCAAATAAAATGATCAGGGAGCCTACAGAAGACACTAATAAAACTCCAGCAAAGCTAAACAAAGTAATATAAAACATGAATGACTAGCACAGAAAAGAATTAAGAAGACATAAAAAGACTCCAAATACAAATTCAAAAGATTAAATATGCTATAGAAAGTATGGGGAATAGAAATGACCAGTGTGAGGACAGTGTCAGAACAAGAACACAAGACTGTTGTCAGTGAGTAATTGAGAGGCACCTTAAA